AGTTATATATTTATATGTAAATATATAAAGACTTTATATATACATATATACATATATGTAACATTATACATATATATATATATGCAGAAGTGGATTGGTGAATCAAATGATATCCTATCTTTGATTTTTTTTGAGAAACTATTTTATGGTTTTCCTTGATGCATGTACCCATTTATATTCCTACCACTGTGGACAGGGGTCCTATTTTGTCCATATCCTAGATGACTGACCTTTTAATCTACCTGTTGATAATTATCATCCTAACAGAGTAGAGATATCTCTTTGAGGCACTTCCTTGATTAGCAATGCTGAGCACCTTTTCATATGCCTATTGGTTGTTAAAATGTCTTCTGAGAAGTGTCTGTATACCTCTTTAGCCCACTCAAAGACATTTAAAATTTTGATGTCCTATTGTTACTTTTGTTTATTTGAAAAGCAACGAGAGTGTGAGTGTAGGCTCCTACTCCCTGATTTATTTCTCAAATGCCTCTGACAGCTGGGGCTGGGCCAGGCTGCATCAAGGAACTAGGAATCGCATCAGTCTCCCGTGAGAGTGAAAGAAATCCAAGTCCTTGGGCCATCATCTGCTGCCTGGCAGGGTGCACATCAGTAGGAAGCTGCAGTGGGAGTGCAGCTGAATCTATGCCACTCTGATATTGTATGTTGATGTTGCAAATGGTGTCTTAACCTCTGTGCCACCTCTAAGTAAATGAGTGAGTAAATACATTAATGTGTTGCAAAAGGAAGAAGGAGAACAAATGAACAAACTCCATCCAGGTTTCCCGTAGGGATGGTAAGAACCCAAGTACTTGTGTACTCATGTGCTGCCTCCCAGCTGCATTAGCAGGAAGCTGGATCAGAAGTCTGTGGAAGCCAGGATTTGAATCAGGTATTCCAGTATGGAATGCTGGTATCCAGAGTGTTGGTTTTGCTTACTGTGTTGTAACACTGACTCCCTAGTTTTATTTTTATTTATCTAAGAGGTAGAGAGCAGGAGAGTGAGCCCTTCTTCTCTGTTCATTCGCCAGTTGCCCCCAATGGCAGACCAATCCTGGTCAGCCTCGTGAGTAGCACAGACTCAGCTGCTTATTACCATCATCTGCTTCCTCGCTGGAGTCAGGAGCAGAACTATGACTCCAGCCCAGACGCTCTGTTACTGAAAGTTGGCATCTCAATCAGTGTCTTAACCACCATGCCAAATGCCCACTCTGCTGCTTTCCCGTTTGAAAATCAAGTTCTTTGTAGTGTTGAATTGCGTGATTTCCTAATGCATTTTGGATATCAGCTCATCAGGTATATGATTTGCAAAATTTTGGGCTTCCTTTTTTTTTTTTTTGCTTACTTCCTTTTGTGTCATAGTGCTTAAGTTTGATATAGTCTCCCTCTTTCTCTCTTTTTGTTTCACTTTTGTTGCTTATACTCTTGTTCTCTTATTAGAATATATTAGGTGGTGGGGAGGGAATTGTGGAGGGGATAAGGGAAATGCCAGGAGCCTATGGAACTGTATCATAAAATGATAATAATAATAATAAAATGTAAAAAAAAGAATATATTTGGGATTCTGGAGTTGGATGTGTGTGGGAAGGACTGAAAAAAATTAAGGGAACAATGGACTTAAAAGACCATAGAATTTTCTTTGAATATTTTGAAGTCTATTTGTACTGTATCAACTTTTTTTATGTTTCAGTTTTGTGATCCATGAAGGAGGTGGTAATAATAAATTAACCTACCTCATAAAGCTATTCTGAAAATAAAATGATTTAATATAGTCCAGTAACTGGGAGAAAATAATATTCAGTAAAGGCCGACCATTGCTAATTATTGCTATCTGTTTGGTCCAAGAGAAACAGTAGGGGGATAGAACTAGAAAGGAGAAATAAGGCTAAATATGATAGGTGGAGATTTTTATTCGTTAGGTTGAGAAACCTGTATTGTATTCACTGAGAAGCTTGTATTGTGCGCATCAACCAGATGTATTCAGGATCAGTTGTTATATTAGGTTGTATTTGTTGGTGAGAGGTGTAATTATTAGGTTATCACAGTAGGCTTGTGCTTGACATGCTTTTGTGTTTGGAAACAAGGATCAAGATATTGGGAAAAAAATTATGACCAGCGATGAAGTTTTGGGAGTAATATTTATTGGGGATGTAGTTGGAGGCTTAGAAGAGTGGTTTGTGTAATAACAGTAAAAGAAAGCAGAGATTAGATGCTTGAAGGATATGCATTCCCTATTGATTTCATTGCCTTAGTATTCTTCAGCAACATTACCATCTAGACTTCTTCACCTTTACTTAAAAGTAAGTGCTAGAACAACAAATGATAAAGCTATTATTGTAATGAGGACACCCATTTTTGTTAGTTTCAGGTGTGATTCTTGCAAAGAAGGTACTTTACCTCTCAGGTTTCAGTGTGGGAGCTGAATGTACATTCTGTTAACACGGCAGTTGGGAATAATAGAACAAGGTGTCCTGCTGGACATTGTAGGTATTTGGATATGGATGTCTGTTTTGAGGCAAGATACAGCCCATAATGAAAATAATGCCCAAATAGAGCTTGCTTATAAAAATCGTTTTCCTAGTAAAGGCTGAGAGAAACTGTCTCACATGCTATGCTGTTATTACTACCACTTTATTTATATCAGTATTTTTTTTTTTTAAACCTTGTTATAGCTGACATTTTTAAACTGGGTGATTCTTTGTCCTGGGCAAATATCTTGTGGGTTGTTGATTTAGCCCTGTCTCTGGTCTCTAGCCACTAGATGGCAGTAGCATCCCCTTCCCTTGAGTTCAACAAAGAATGTCTCTTGGCATTGCCTAGGGCAGGCCGCCAGGCTAGGGTGAAGTGGGAAGACCCGTGGTTGAGAACTGTTGCTTTACATAACAGATGTGTCACTCATTCCTCAGTCAGTTTTCTTTGTACTTTTCTTTGGCATTTGGCCATCCCATACATCTAAGTGGGTTTCTACTTTTGTTAGGTGAAAGTTTCTTAACCCTGTTTTTTAGGGATAGAGATTCTCTCCTTCATCCCCTGCCCATAGCCAGTCCCCCCCCCCACCCCACCGGCCCCCTACTCCCCGGGTCATAAGTCCGATGTTCTGCTCTCTGGTGTGTCATGGCATCAGTGCATGATTCCTCTAAGCTGGCAGTGGCAGTCTTACTTTTATGTTGGTGATTGCCTGCAGTTAGAACAGATCTTCATTTTCTCTCTCTTAGCTCACTTGGTAAAATCATGTTTGATTCTGTAGAAGCCAAGTGCTCAGTCTAAGTCTACCCTGAGGTATCTTCTGCTACCAGGGCAGAAGGAAGCTAGAGTGAGGAGCTTAACCTGGGTGTTGAAGCCTGACCTCAGGATGGGATGCAGACATTTTAGGCAGTGTCTTAACTGCTGACTAAACGCCCACCCAGAAATGCAGCTTTGATCCTTATTTTAACCTAGACGTGAGCTGGTTAATTTACTGAATTTGAAGTGGTCCCTGTGATGAGTGCAGCCGTTAAGATGCCATTTGGGATGTCTAAATCAGAGTTCCTGCATTTGTGTTCTGGCTCTGCTTTTGATTTTAGCATCTTGCTAATATGGAACAGGATGCAGTACTTCAAGTGGTTGGGTCTGAGTTACTCCCATTGGGGACCTGGTTTGAGTTCCTTGCTCCTGGCTTAAGGCTGGCCCTGCTTTGATCTGCTGGGTATTGGGCAGTGAACAGGAGATGGGAGTTTCCTCTTTGTCTTTCTTTCCCCCTTGACTCTCAAAGCATTAACAGTTAATTAATTAACTAATTAATTAATTCAATAAAGTACACTCCTTCTTCTTTTAAACCCTAAGACATGTAGCTTGAAAGAAGGTTTTGTATGTTTTCAGGTCACCAAGATTCTGTATTTCAAGTTTGGTGAATTTTGAATTTTTCTAAAATTTATTTTTACTGGAAAGGCAGATTTACAAAGAGAAGGAGAAATAGAAAGATCTTCTGTTTGCTGGTTCACTCCCTAAGTATCTGCAATGGCTGGAAGTGAGCTGATACAAAGCCAGAAGCCAGGAGCTTCCTCCATGTCTCCCATGCGAGTGCAGGGTCCCAGGGCATTGGGCCGTCCTTGACTGCTTTCCTAGGCCACAAGCAGGATGGCAAGTGGAGCAGCCAGGACATGAATAATCATTTATGGGATCCCAGTGGTTGCAAGGCTAAGATTTAGCCACTGAGCCATCCCACCAGGCCTGAAATTTGAATTTAAAAGGCTAAGTCCCTTGTTTTATATATTTCCTCTTAATTTGAGATTCATGAGAAAATATTTCTTTTTATAGTTAATGGATATATAATTTTTAGTGAACATCATTAATTTCATAGTTTCATAGTATCAATTTAAAAATAATTTTAAGTAACACTTGACAAATATTTTACAGAGTTTAATTATTTTTCCCTGTTATTATTACTGTTACTCAACTTGTAAATAGATAAGGAAGCAGAATCCATATAGTGAAGTCTTGCTCAGCAATAAAAAGAACAAGCACTCCTGTATTTCCAGGCATGGAAACATTGTGAAAGCTTCCTGTTAAGCATGAGTATTTCAGTTACATTGTTGGAAAAGTGGAACAGTGATAGAAGTTAGCTAGGTCACTGTTGACAGAGTTGAGGGAGGGACCTGATTGCAGCCATTTAAAGACAGCATTTTCAGAGTAATGTGATACTCTGTTCTGATTTTTGTCATTGTTTAATTGTATTCATTGTCTCTAAGAGAAGCTGGACAAGAGAGCATCTTTTTGGCCCATTTCATTGCTTTTTTGAAGTCATAGAAATGTATCTGTTAGGCCTTTTATAAAGTCATAGAAGTGAATTTGTTAGGAAAAAGAGGAAGACATCAATAAGAAGGTAGATATCGAACCTCCCTTGCTGCTTGAGGAAAAAACTAGTAGTAATTTTTCATAATAAAAAATAGTATTGTGTTGAATACATTACATCTTTAGTTTTTAGTTTCTTATTGAGTATTATAATCATTTTTAATTTTCTACAGAAGTATAAACCTGGTCGGTGTGATGATATTTTGAAGTGGAAACCTCCCAGTTTGAATTCTGTGGATTTTCGCCTGAAAATAACAAGAATGGGAGGAGAAGGGTGAGTATGCAGTTTGGTTCCTGCACCGTTTTCACAAGAAATAATTATCTGCAGAAGGCTTTCCTACCTGCAGCTTGTTACTTCAATGAAAAGAAACTAAGCTGCTTTACAATGTATTTTGCCTAGGTGTGTGCATGTCTGTACGTATACATCTATTTCATTTTCACTGATTACTCTTTGGAACTATCACAATTATTATGCTATACTTTTAATAATATCTTGTCGACTTTACTTGTAGTCTTAAGATTTTTTTAAAAAAACAATACAGTAACAATTTGTTAAAATGTAAAAGTGAAAATAGATTTCACTCAAATAATACTGTTAAATGAGTTATATATGTGGACAGTGATTATTGGTATTATGCTTGAGTACATTGGAGTAGCTTTGGAGGAATTGACTTTGTGATTGCATTCATTCTTATTTTTCCACATTCTAGTTATTGACTTTGACTAATATCTTTCATAATGTTCATTAAGTATTAATTTTTTCATTTCTTGCTTAATCTTCCTTTTATGCTCTTTGGATGTTACTTTAGATTAAACGATGTTTTAACATGAGTATTTACATTATTTTTCCAAAGCCTTATATTACTTTACACACATATTATACTTTAGTCTAGTAGGATAAAATAAAAGAAATTATCAAGGAAATAATAAAAAGACAGATAATGCTAGCAAAGAGATTATAGTTTATCGATCAGTGCATACTTTGATGTTCTTACAGTTTAGCAGTGCGTACCTACTTATATCTCTGAATTCTAGAGAAAGGATGCTGTGCCACATGGGGAATTTTATGTTAAAAACAGGATATACTAAGGCATATGGGTGTCAACTTTCAAAAAATAGGATAATTTAGTATTTTACATCCTTAAATTTTTGTGACTTAACTTACTATGTGGACTTAATGTCCAAAAAATGTTCTGAGTCTCATGTAATGGCCTGTGGCCGAGGATCTTTCTGTTTAACTTTTTCTCTGTAGGTCTGCCTCCCCAATAAAAATAAAATAAAGTCCTAAAAAATGTTCTAACATAACTCTAAAAATGTTCTGAAGCCCCCAAGTAGGTATTTAGCTTTTTTTGCTTTGCTTTTTAATCAAAGGATAGTTTTAAGATCTCTGCACCCCCACATAAATGCATGTATACACGCAGAAATGATTGAGTATATTCCAAAAGCAATGTAGAATATAATAATATTGGATAACTGTCAGTACATGGTGAATTCCAGTTTCTTCTGTCTGAGAAAAGATCTTATGTACAGGTGTTTTGGGCTACCAGAAGCTCACAGGTAGCTCACAGGCTACCTGTGGAGCCTGTCCACCAGGAATCATGGGAGATGGGTATGGGCTTGGTATTCGTTTCTGGAAGTGCTGGTAGTGATAATTTCTGGAAGTGATATTAGTTTCAGAAGTGTGTGCTTCTGAAATAGTGGAGACTGATGGTTAATTCAGTTGGCACACTTTTCTAATTATTAAAAATTATGGATGAATATGATTCTTTGGGGAATAGTGAAAGTAGACTGTGTTAAATTTATTACTAAAGCTTTTGGTTTTGCCGACTGCAGCAACATTTATTAACATTTGGAAAAATCTCTGTGTTTCTCTTGATTATATCATTGCGTTTTGAAAAATTGCTCAGTTTTATCTTTTACAGATTGTAATATGAGGCTGTACATAGAATGTTCATTTCTCTAAGTAGCAAAAACTGATATTTTTTCTTGCAATTGTATGTTGTCATGATACATAGCAAAAGGTCATTATTTTAACATGTTTTAATCCTGGTTTTTGCTTTGCTATTAGTCTGTTCTAATTATAATCTTTAAAAATTTGAGTCCTGTTTATGTCTTTTTAGAAGTAATTCTGAATTTCTTTTATCCTAGTCATGTTTAAATGTATCAATATCACCATTAAAGGTAGTTTACAGATAGGAATATGTACGCTACGTCAGTGCAGGCACATATTTTATGCAACATGGATGTCAGTTTTAAAAAAATAATAATTTGAAACATAATTGATAGCTGTTACATAAAGCATGCATTTTTAAAAAAGATTTATTTATTTTTATTGCATAGTCAGATATACAGAGAGGAGGAGAGACAAAAAGATCTTCTGTCCGATGATTCACTCCCCAAATGACCGCAATGGTTGGTCCTAAGCCAGGAGCCAGGAACTTTCTCTAGATCTCCCACACAGGTGCAGGGTCCCAAGGCTTTGGGCCATCCTCACCTGCTTTTTCAGGCTACAAGCAGGGAGCTGGGTGGGAAGCGGGGCTGCCGGGATTAGAACCAGCACCCATATGGGATCCTGGTGCATTCAAGGTGAGGACTTTAGCTGCTATACCACCACACCAGACCCAGCATGCATTATTTGATTAGGCAAAGTAATGCACCTTTTGCCATATAAAGAATGTTAGCCAGTATAAGACTTTTCACTAAACAAATAAGTTTATGTATGCTGGTTAGTAGCCGCTAAGTATAATAGAGAAACTGTAGCAACTTGAGGAGAGTGTAGTGAATTTTTTAGTTATATATAACAAAATGTGATGAAGATAATAACATACCACAGAGTAAGTTAGTTTCTTTTCATGTGTACTTCCAGAAATGGATTGAATGTCGTGAAAGGTTTAAGAGGCATACAACATTGAAAAATATTTGCAGTGGCTTTTTGCATGAAATCTTAGGTGTTGAGCCTTCTCTTCCCCACCCCCCTACCAAAATTTGCGAATTTTTTTATTAATTTATGAATGTAACTATTTATGAGGCAGAAAAACCAAGAGAGGCAGAGAGGGACAATGCTTCCCCAAATCCTCCAATGGTCATGACTGAAATTGGGTCAAATTTGGGAGCCGGAAACACAATGCAGGCCTCCCTTAGGCATCACAACAACCTAATTACCTGAGCCATCATCTGCTGCCTCCCAGGGTTTGTGTTAGCAGCAAGTTAGCTAGAATCTGTAGAGCTGGAGCCAGGAATGAAATCCAGTTCTCCTCCGATGTCGAATATAGGAATCTGATCTTAGCTCCCAGGTTAAACACCCTCCCTGGTTACGATCCTGAGTCTTATTCAGCTGCTGTGATAAAGTGGTAATAATGTATGTGGCTGTTAGACCATGCATGTAGATATTATGTGTTAAATATCCTAGTGATGGCAATTAGAATCTGAAAATTTTTTCATTCTTTATCATTTCTAAGAGTTTGAGATGTTTTAACTTATTTGTTGTAGTTTAAAATAATTTTTGTGTATCTTTGGGTTTGTGTTGAATTTTATAGATATATAGTTAATTTTCATCTTAACATCATTTATTATTTTAAACATTTTACTGTTTTGCTTTAACAACTTTGCATAAGAAAATTGGCAACCACTAGAATTACAAATGTAGTCACTCTGGAAGTCATGAGCTCTTGATCGGTGTCAGTGACTTACAGTGTAGACTTAGGATTTATATGATGTGGTGGTTTAGAGCATAGATTCTAGAGCTAGACCTATCCTGGTTGAATCTGTGTCCTACCTCTGACTTTGAGCATATCCCTTCTTTCGTGAACCAGATCATCAGTAAAATAGAAATTGACCCCTCAAGAATTAAAAAGCTAATATACGTGAAACATTTAGAGCAGGATCTAGCATATGGCAAGGATTTAAATGTTTGTTATTATTTTTGTTGTTTTAATTAAAATAGGTTTACAAGTTCCTCTTCTTTCCTGCCACTCCTGCAGGTCTGCTACCTTCTGCGTCATATTCAGTACAGCTATGTGAATCATTTCCTATTTGATTGTATTCCATGTTGACATTTTCCTTTTAAAATGATCTCTAACTTATTTATATAATTAGTTGGCAGTTCTTAAAAATCCAGAGGGTGAGACCACAGCAAAATCCCATGACTTGTCCTTGTGCATTTTCTTTGTAGAAGTCTCTTAGAATAACATTGATAGTGTGTATAGTCGGTGTGAACACAGTTATTGGATCAGACTATCGAGGGCAAAAGCTCAGTTTCATTACTTACTTACTGTGTGGTCTGTTTCTTCATCTAAGCTTCTCGTCTGTAAAATGGCCACAGTCAAGAGGTGTAATTTGTTGTGAGGAGTTAACTATTTGGCAAAAATGCAAAAACTGATACTGCTTTATCAGGTTATGAGGATTGAATCACTAATGCAAGCAAATTCAGAACAGAGCTCACTAGACATTTCATGTTCTCATTTCAATGTTCATGGTTATTAATTTAATCAGTAGAATCTATTGTAAGTCATAGATTCAGAATATACTTGGTATTTTCAAGGGGAAATATATAAGTGCTTTCGATGAAACAGCTGTAATTTGCTGTGGAATTACAAGAATTAATTTTTCTCCTCTTTGTAAGAAATGTACCTTCTAAAATAGCAGTGATATTTAATTTTTTGATTATCACTTTGCAAATATCTGCAATGCCCTTTTTGATTAGGTTTTAAGTAAGCAGGTCATTTTCTAACCTGTTTGTTAGGAAAACAAGTTGTGTTCAACTCTTCTACTAAGCAGTAAGTTGGTGTGTATGTTTTATGTGAGTATATAAATAAAGATCTCCTGAGGAAATGTGCTCAGATTCTGTGAAAGGAGATACTCCTGTGTATCTTGTGCATAGTTGTGTTTCTATTACCCAACAGCATGATGGCTGGACATAGTAGGCTCTCCAAAAATAGTAATTAGTGGAACATATGGACAAATAATAATTCAAAAAGGCTTGTGCAAAAGAATTTAACTGAAGTGTTAGTTTAAAAAAAATGGAATGAAAGAGGGCATAAGCAAACACACCTTGCCAATGGGTCAGTCCTCGAATGTCCGTAACGGCTGGAATGGGGTCAGTTGGAACCTGGGAGCTGGGAACTCAGTCCAGGTCTCCCGTGTGAGTGGCAGGAGAGTTACCAGCTGCTGCTTCCAGAGTGTGCGTTACAAGGAAGCCAGAATCAGGAGCAGAGCAGGGATTCAAATCCAGGCTTTGGGATATGGGTTGCAGACTCCTTGAGTCTTTAGCACTAG